ATTAAACCTTATTTTCAATAAGCAATCCTGAAAAATATTTGGGGGTGCTTAACTTTTTTCCAGGTGTATATTATGCACTGGTGGGTATGAATACACTGGATAAGTCACCAGTTGCAATGCCTATGGATTTCTGTGTGAACAGACTTTTAAAATGGCATTAGGAAACTGTTATCCTCATATTCTAGATGGATTATGGAAAATATGCAGGAAGGAGAGGTAGGCTTTGAATATGGTGGATTCACTATGAAGCCTTTTTCAATGGTAACTACACAAGGCTATTCTCAAGATGCATAAGCATCAGATAAACATGAATGGGCATGTCAACATGCACTATAACAAAATGGTGAGACTCAAAGATAATTTAATATAATATACTCAATCTCTGTATTATTTTACAAACATTTAATTAATTAGATATTAAACTACAAATTTCCATTCATGTATTATCAACACTTTTTTAAACATCAAGAAACCAGATTGTAACAGGACATACAACATAATTCTATGTATTGCAAAATAGACATCTCATTTGTTAACAGAAAAGAAAATTGTAGATGAATGCCACAGTGTATGACTAGGGGAAATTGTTGGCTTTGAAACTGATGTATTATATTTGGTTTGTTTAAGCTCAAAGCTGAATAGGGATTGAATTCTAAATCTTAGCATTATAAGCTTCCAAGCTTACTGCTAAGTCACTGGGGGAAAATGCTGTTTTAAGACATTCTCAAAAATTCTCAGTTTTTTTCTATACAATTTTGCAGCTAAAGGATTGATTTACAGTTCAAAAAACTAGGCATAACTAAGTGGTTAGCTTGCCAGATTGTGGATCCAAGAGTCATTCCATTAGAAAAACAAATATGTGACAAAAAATCACACACTGCAAGTTAAGGCCATGAGAGTATTATAAAACATGGTCAAATCCCACTATTCAATTAGTGTAAAAATATCTATAACATATATGTGTTAATAATAGTAAACAATAATTTTGTATATATATAGCTAAAATTTTTTCTGTTAAACACTAAACAACCAATTATTAGTAATAACAAAAAAAGGTTTGTAAAATACTTCAGCAGACAGAATTACTATACAGTAGATTGAGAATGTCAATAAATGGTATAATTTATGTTGTTCTTTAACCTCAGGGTCATATAATGGGTTAACTGTGCTCTGTCCACCATGGATAATCAAACCCCAGATGTTAGCATTGCAAAACCATAAACTTACCATTGATTGACTAGAAAATAGGAGTATGATTTTATAACCTCCAAGTTAATATAGTTTCATTACACTTTTCCATTAAAAATTACTTTAGCTTTGGAAATTTTGACATTATAAACCTATGACACTTTGAATATATGTTTATAAATATTACAGATATCAATATTTGGTTATGATAAAGCCTCTTAGAACATTGCTTAAAACAAAATAGGAAAATGCTATGACATGCACAGCATGACACTGTATAGCTTGCCCCAGATAAAATAATACAGGGAAATACCATGTCAGTTACAGCAGGAATGCTTTAGCTTGCCTTAAAAATGGCCTGAAAAATTCACAAATGACAGAAACATCTAGCTTTTTAGAAGTTTCTGATATAAGACCCACGTCTGTTAGAGAATTTAAGGCCCTGAGAAAATAGTATTTTTAAATATCACATTTGAAAAAAAGGTGAAAGATCTTCACGTCTTTGAAAAGTACTGCCAGAGTATCAAAATAACAAACAAAATCAAGTGGATGAATGGAAAGAAAACTGAGCAGAGTGGTGCCAATATCTTTATTTACATGTATTGAAGCTTTTTTATTTCATTATTTAATCTGAATTATGTTTCATACCTTAACTCCTAACAGTTTTTCTCTCTGACATTGCTATAAGATTATTTATAACCAATATAAAGAGAAGCTTTTACTTTAAAAGATTCCTTAAACAGTTGTATTGTTTTTGGTGCCTGAAAGTAGATATTCAACTTTAGTTCCATTGTTCACAACCACTTTTTTTTCTGCTATGGAAAGCTAAAAGAACTTTTTTTTTACTTATTTATAGCTTAGAAAGTGAGTTAAACTACAGTTTTGGAACATTCTATTCTTGTATCCTATATATTTTTGTTCTAAAATGCATATTTGAAAGAAACAATTATTTTATGGAGAACTTCATATGAAAAAGAGCTAGTGCTAAGGAAGAACACTCTTGAGCACAAATGACTGAACTAGGCTTCAACTCTAATGTAAGGCCAAAATTTGTTTTTTATGTATATTTTTTTATTTATGCTTATATATCTTTAAAAAAAGTAACTAAACAGTAAAAATTAGAAACTTATTATGTTTGGTAACAAAAGAGTAAAAATTAATAAAGATTTCATGAAACTAGTTCAAGCTAAATGTGTCATGTGATTTTAACTTGATGGGTTGTTTACACTAAATCCTCTTGCTATGATTAATTGCCCGTCATATACTTAAATAAGGTCTAAAGAGCAGTGTCAAGTTAAAAATGAAAAACAAGCAGATTTAAAAATGTTAGAAACTGAATCTGTTGGGATAAACAGTTATAACTGTCTGATGCAATCTCAATTCATTAAAAAAGGTATTGATTTTATTTAGTATTTCTCATTTCAATGAACATCACTAATTTTGCTACAGTTAGTGTTAAGGTATAAAATATAAACTTTTACCTTAAAAAAATTTTGATATTCATTTAAGAGATCTTAGAGGTTAAGTGAACAGAATAAGAAAACTGCAAGATGAAAAAATTGCTTATTCTTAGTATAAAATTCACCATGCACTCAGATTGATTCAGTAAAGGCTTTGGAAATTGACAGACTAATTTCTATTATAAATACTTGACTTTTTTGTGTACAATATACTTGTAATGATTACAAAAAGCTTGCTAAGTTTATTGACGATATACTTTCAGAGTTAATATCAGTTATATCATTTTAAATTTTGCTGATTTTATTTGCAAAGTTAAGTATAACCAACAAATTTAAAGTTTGCTCTTCATGTTTTGGTTTGTTGAAATGTAAGCCATCAAAAGTGCCTAGGAGTGCAACCACTATTTATACATAGAGTAATTCCACTCAAACAAGTTACAAGATACATTCTGCCAATTGTTAAGTAAGGTTGCACCTAGACCAAAATACGTATTCATTGAATATTCTTTACATAATGTAATATAATTCAAGAGTATTAAAATACACAAAAACATTAAACAAAAAGTTTCACCTGATCTCACCAAATCGTATAACATGCTTGGCCAAGATGAATCCATGACATTATTTTTATTTTCAGCTAACTGATTCTCCTCGAATGCATTTTAAAATTATCTTAGTTTGACAAATATAAGTTTGTTGCCAGTTAAAAATTATATTGTATATACCACTTTCACAGAAAATATTTAAAATATCTTTAAGGAAAGATAAAATAGAACGAATTTTTAGGGGAAGAGTACATACATTTCTACACTTAAAATGTTTTTGAGAAATACTGTCAATTTTGGTTATTTAACCCAGAAAACAGTAAGCTAATTTTTGTATGTTTAAAATTATCATTAGTTACAGCTGTAGGAAAATTAATATCATACCAATTTACAAATTTTCAATAAGCTTGGTCAATAATATTTGGTGAAAACCTCCAATTAATAAAAAGTATATAAGAAAATTCAATTCCAATGCAAGTCCAAAGGATTATAATAAAATTTATAATCTGACTAACAAAAGTACATAAAAAGCTAAATATTTATGAAATCAAGGGTGGCGAGACCTATTGTGTGGCAATATTGGAACATAAGATGGTTTATAATACACAGTGGTTGAAAACCAATCTTCTAGATAGTATTACTCCTGATGATGGTTTACATTTCAATGTGTTATTGAAACGTTGTCGATTTTTCTTTTGACTTTCATTGAAAACTTGGGGGAGCTATCAAACTGTCATATTGCTTACAGTTAACAGTAATATGATATTAGCTGTTAGTTATTAAATATTCTTTCAACAATAAACAAATCATTAATATCCATATCAGTGAACGTTATGCTACTACACAAATTAGGTTGGCTTGTGTCTGATGGCTAATTTTTGAATACACTGTGTACCTTAAAAACAAGAGTTTACATTTTGTTTTGTTATTTGGTTTAAGCACAGTTTAAGCTGTGATTTAATCGATTATATCAGAGCTTTTGTTATATCCACTGATCATTAGAGAAGTTGTTGGTAATAAGGTACAGTTTTAAACACAGTGTAAGTTGTGGTTTAATAAATTATTATAATGAAAAGGTAAACTATGCTTTAACTAATGGTCACAAAACTGTGTAAGTTATGTTTTTAATAACAAAACAGTTTTGGTTATACTGTTATACGTTTTCTATAAAAAGTATGTTTAATATTTTTTTTTGTTCATACAGCTAATTGCATTGGTCTTACGCAATTTAACATTTATATCTCTGTTTGTCATTCATAAGAAAGATTACACTTACTGTCCACTGATGAGAAAAACCCTGAGGTTACTATAATAAGCTAAATCATAAATGACTCATAGTACTAATTAATACCTTGTCAAATATTTCTTTAAAAATCAAATAAAAAAAAGATGGAAGAATATATTGCAGAGTTAAGATATACTGTATAAAGGAAATTCATCTCTTTTAAACAGTTTTATAAACAATAAAAATATTAATTTTTGGCTAAAACTTGTTTTATTTGGAAGTGCTTCATTTTCATTTATTACATTTATGATGTTATGAATCTTAAGAAAATTCTGAGGAGTCAATTTTGAATGTAATACATTTTATACAATTGCTTACATGTGGAGATCACTGAATAAGATGATGATAAAAACAGTATTCCGGTGCACTTATGAAAACTATAAAACTTTGTAGCGGCCCTTGTTGATCGGCTGGTAAGAGTTTTGCTGAAAGAAAGGATTATTTTTAATTAGGTAGCAGTGAATGTTAATTAAAATAAAGATCAAAATACAAAATGTCTACTTTTTTAACCAGTAAAAAACTTTAAATATTCTTCTACAAATTATAATTAGAAGCTTTAAATCACTATTTTAAAGATACCAAGTTTATTTGTAAAGAATCAAAACAGACATTAAATTACCCAAAGTAGAATTTTGTTAAAATTAGTTAATAAATGACTATTAATTACTGTTTACACTGTTTCTTACTTATTTAATGTTAAACAGGGATGAATCCTCTATAGCCATGGCACTTGAAATTCGTTTGGACAGGATTAGAGTAACTTAATCTATGAGACCTTTTTCCCTTTATTAGCTACATTTTTGTGTGCCAGCATCATTTATACCTGATTCAATTCTATTACTCCTCAGGATCTCTACCAGCCTACCAACAAATTGAAATTATTTTAGGTAGGATTGGAGTAAATTAATCTATGAGACGTTGGGTGTGATCAAATACATCAATTGCACGGGTTTGACCTCCTGAGTTCAAAACTGTAATTAGATCTCAAATCAGTCAAGAAATGATGAAGCTATGAGCTAAAAGTTTGTGCTTGAAACACAAACAAACTCACAGCCATTCTATGAGCTGCTATGCTGAGGAAAAAAAAAGACTATTTATACTTACGATATAACAGCAATAATGATTAGTTATTTTTATTAAAGGATCTTTTTCACAGCTTATCTGCAATCAATTACACACGAAACATACACATTTTGAACAATACAAATAGATCTTTTAATTAAGTGCAGACAATGCAAGAAACTATTGTAATGTTTTACTAAATTGGGTTTCATTGAGTTGTTGTTTCTGAGAAGAATACTTACCATTTTGATGAGTTCTTCTTTGATGAGACGTACAATTTCAGACTTAGCTTTAGCCACTGCAAGTTCATTAGTGCTTTCAATTGCCAGATAGAGTTTGCGGTCACCATCTTTTGGATCTTTTCCAGGTGGGTAGTAGGAGCCTCGAACAGTAATTCCTGCTTCAGAATACTCACTAATTTGTGCTAGAGCTTCCTGAACAACAAGCAAACATCCAATTTGATGACTGATTTGTTAAAAATATATTTTTAACACTAAATTATGTTTAACACTATTAAATTGATCACTTTCAAGGAACTTAACACTGTGATAGTTACCTTTGTTTTGTATAAAGTAATCAGCTTAATATTTTAAGAAGCACTAAAACCATTAAGTAAAGTAAATCACACTATGATATTATTAACAGTGAAAACTATATTCCATCCAACAAAATAAAATAAAACGAATACTGTTCAACTCTTATACCAATTTGATGTTATAATGACAAACTAAGTCATTTTGTTTACACCTGGCCTTCTTAGTAGTGCACAATCAACTTGAAAGGATATTTATGAAAAAGCAAGAAGTTTCTAATATCATATTAGTATTAGGTACAATAACACAAACTACCTGAAATTAACTAGCTCTTCAAAATGAAAATTTCATCAATGCTTATATTTTATTTCTAAACTTGGTTAGTTAAAATATCTGTTTTCTTTTACACAAGTCTCCACTTTTGAAACAATAAAATGTACCTTGGATTGCCTAAAATGAGAAGATAGCCACAAACTTTATCTAATTACTCGTATTTTAGAGAAATTATTCATGTCTACTCTCACTGAACCACATGGATAATCAGCAGGTCTTGATACTTGTTAATAACACAGCCCTGCATTGGTTTTATTGTCTTCAAATTTTACAAGTTCTACAGTAATTCATGTACAATGAATCTGAAAATGATATCCATTTTTCTTCACCACGTACAGAATTTTCACAAAACATCATATGTACTTTTACATAAGTGAATCATTTTCATTGAAATCAGGTCACATTTTGTTATGCTTAAAATGTTGACAACCACTGACTATAGATTTTTCTTGACCATGTAGGAGTCTTATTGATCATTCTAGAACCCATAAGAAACACACTGCTAGTATGTAAACGGTTCACAGGCCTCATGACGTGTTATTTCTGGATAGTATTTGTTTGTTTGTGCATTTTGGAATAAAACTTGGGGACCAAGACAAATCATGGACTCTGCACAAAATTTGCACCATTTGTTTCAAAGAATTGAAACAATGGATTAAAGGTAAGAAATTGTCTTGTCCTTTTGGAGTTCCAATGGTTTAGCGTGAGCCTAGAAACCATTTAGGTGAATGCTATTTTTGCTCGTGTAATGTACAAGGCTACAACACTCGAAATAAAAAGAATTTTTTAACCAAACCTTCAATCTGCTACAAGACCTGTTTTTCATGGACCTGATGTATCTGTACCTACTCCACTAAAGACTCTTGATACAGTTCCATCTGATTCAGAATCTGATGTCAATAGAAATGATGATAGGGATTGTTTTCAACCTGAAAGGTCTGGTGAACCACAACTTTTTTACACAAGGTGAACTTAATGACTTGGTGAGAGATTTGGGCTTTTCAAAGGATTCTTCAGAGATTTTGGGGTCCAGACTTCGGGCTAAGAACTTACTTTCTCCAGGGATATCATTTTACTGGTACAGAAATCACAAGAGAGTTTATACCATATTCTTACAAGAAGGCTCACTGGTTTATTGCAACAATATTGCTGAATTAATACCGATGCTAGGAGCTGCAGTCTATGAAGCAAGTGAATGGCAATTGTTCATTGGTTCCTCCAAAATAAGTCTAAAGTCTTCACAATAGCAACACATATGCATCTCTTACTATTGCTCAATCGGTTCACTTGAAGGAAACTTATGAAAATCTCAAACTTCTTTTAAATAAGGTCAAATACAAAGAATAGGTTGGCTACTTTGTGGAAATTTAAAAGTTCTTTGTATGTTGTTGGGTGAACAATCCGGTTATACATAGTTTCCATGTTTTTTGTGTGAATAGGACAGCAAAGCATGAAATCAGCACTGGATAAAGAAGCAATGGCTACACAGAGTCAGCCTGATACCAGGATAGAAAAACATTGAACATGAAAGTTTGGTTGACAAAAAGAAATTTCTATTACCTCCACTTCATATAGAACTAGGCTTGATGAAGCAGTTTGTAAAGACCTTAGATAAAGATGATGACTGTTTCATACATCTATGTGGACAACTTCCAGTTCTTTCAGAAGCAAAACTTAAAAAAGGGATTTTTTTGGGCCTCGGATTAGGAAAGTGACTTCAGATAAAGTTTGAAGGGACAATGAGGAAAGTTGAAAAAGAAGCATGGATTGCCTTTAAAGATGTTATTGACAAAGTTTTAGGAAACAATAAGGACCCAAATTATGAAAATATTGTCAATAACATGCTCGATAAATTCAAAGAGTTGAGTTGTAATATGAGCTTGAAAGTTCATTTCTTACACTCACATATTGGCTATTTCCCTGAAAATCCTGGTGCCATCAGCAAAGAAAAAGGGAACAGGTTTCATCAAGACATCATGGAATGTGGAACATCAGCATAGTAGCTAATTACTACTGGTCATTGAAACAAGATGCTCCAGATGCAATACATAAAAGAAAGACCACAACATGTAGTTTTGAGATTAAAAGATGTAGATTTCACACAAAAAAGATCAGGATGAATGAGGATGCACATTCGTTTGACATTGATTTTCTTCAGATTGTTTGTATTTTTGTTAACAAACATAATAACGAAAAATGTTCATTGCAGTAAACAAAATAATAAGTTGATATAAGTAAGAGTATTATTTTGCAGAAAATTCCAGAGACCTGAGTGATCAACATATAAATAGTGGCAACCAAACAAAGTCAAGTGAAGTGAAAAAAAAGTTTATTCAGAGAAAAGTTAGAAAATGTGAAGTTAGCCGATGTGTGAGTGATTAGCTTTAAGAGGCGATATTTTAAAGTGAGTTTCACAGTTTAATACAGATAAGGAGAATAATTTGTCTTGTCAAAGGGTGTTCTAAAGTAACTGAACCCATCTGTGTGGACTTTGATGAAAAGAGAACAATTATTTAAATCTTAGGATACAACTGTGGTAACCAATGGGGTAGCATAAGTGAATTATTTACTGATACTATTGTGATAAGAGCAGAGAAAAATAGTTTGTCTTGTCAGTTGAATTCTAAAGTAATTGAATCAGCCTAAGTGGACTTTTGACTAGAAAAAGAGAACTATTTAGAGTTTGAGATACAATTGTGATATCCATAGTGTAATGAATATTTGTACATACATTTAACTGCTTTGAATATATTCTTTTAAAACAAGTGGATTGTGTGCTGTACATTTATTGTTCGAATTTATTGTCCACAAGTCACAGGCACCTACTGTAGAAGAATCTTCTGCCCACACATATATTTAAAACCCTAACAGGTACATAGTTTCTGTTTAATTTTTTTTTAGTTTAGAAAGTTGATGGTACTTTTGAAATATAATTTTAAAAAAAACAGGCTCATTTATTCATTGATTGTTTCATTAATATTTCTCAGAAGCTTTCCTGTGATAAAACAGCTTTGGTTGATTTCGATTGGACTACAGATTTTTTATGATCAAAATAACACAAAAGGACTTCACTTTTCAATGTATATTGTTTCACCAAGGATGATTCTACCAAAAAAAGTTAATATTTCTATTATATAAGGAGCTTCTGGTAACAGACTTTAGATTTCCAAGTTAAACAACTCTAAAGCATAAAGGAAAAACAATGTTATCTATAGGTTGGATTTTTTTTATGCTTATGAATTTTATATTAGAGAAACTGAATAAAATTAGATAGTATAGAAATCTCCACCATCTCTCCTGTGCTTGAAAATAAGGATGAAACTGGGCATAAATAAGATAAATTGGAAAATGTGTAGTATCACAAAAAAAGATACAAACACTGACAGTCTTAAAAATGTTAAAAAATATTCCAATAAAACTTTTCATATGAAAATATATTTAAACAAAAATTAATGTTTTTGTATTTTAAAACATTTTACAGCTATTTAAAAGACTTTTTAGCTATTAATTTATCAGATTCAGCAATGATATGACATAAGATCATTTGTATGAACTTACTGGGCTGTACATCCTATTTTATCACCCAAGAAATCCATGCTAACATTAAATAGTTTGTCTTCTTTCTTTTTCATAACCAAATTTTTAAATGTTTAACACAATGATTCTAGAGAGGAGTTTATCAAATAAGCCAACAATAATCTGCTAAAGGAAAATATTTTTTTATACAAGTGAGTACTGAAAATACTTTAATAAAATGAAACCAAATCATGATATTTTTTTCTAGTTTAATCTATATCACATCTCATTACAAAAGCTAAGAAAATTAAAGGTATCAAATAACTTCTGTGAACAAAATACACTAATTTCCTTTTCATGCCAACAAACTTGAAATGAGACTTAAAAGCTCCCTGAATGTTTTAATATACAGTAAATACTTTTTTAAAATTATAAACTACAGTACATGTACTATCAGATCAGTTGATAGTTTTTAATATATTACAGTGTTCAGTATGTCTAATACTAACTTGCCATATTACCTAGTTAACCAATGTAGTGTTATTCTTCCAACCCATACCTTTGTTGTGACATATTACCTAGTTAATAAATCTACTGTTATCCTTCCAGTAGATACCTTTATTGTGACACATTAGCTAGTTAACTAATCTAGTGCAATTCTTCCAATAGATACCTTTATTGTGACACATTAGCTAGTTAACTAATCTAGTGCAATTCTTCCAATATATACCTTTATTGTGACACATTAGCTAGTTAACTAATCTAGTGCAATTCTTCCAATAGATACCTTTATTGTGACACATTAGCTAGTTAACTAATCTAGTGCAATTCTTCCAATAGATACCTTTATTGTGACACATTAGCTGGTTAACTAATCTAGTGCTATTCTTCCAATAGATACCTTTATTGTGACATATTATCTAGTTAACTAATCTAGTGCTATTCTTCCAATAGATACCTTTATTGTGACATATTATCTAGTTAACTAATCTAGTGCAATTCTTCCAATAGATACCTTTATTGTGACACATTATCTAGTTAACTAATCTAGTGCTATTCTTCCAATAGATACCTTTATTGTGACATATTATCTAGGTAACCATTCTAGTGCTATTCTTCCAATAGATACCTTTATTTTGACATATTATCTAGTTAACCATTCTAGTGCTATTCTTCCAATAGATACCTTTATTGCGACATATTATTTAGTTAACCAATCTGTGGTTATCCTTCCATCACTTACCTTTACTGTGATATCTTACCTATTTAACAATTGTGGTGTTATTTTTCTAATATATAAATATTTGTTGTGGAATATTATACTGTTAACAAATCTAGTGTTATTTTGACAAGTTATACCTTTGTTGTGATATATTATCTAGTTAACCAATCAAGTGTTATTCTTCCAATGCATACACTTGTTGTGACATATCATCTAGTTAACTAATCAAGTGTTATTTTTTCAGCCCATACCTTTGATGTAACTTTCCATCTAGCCTGTTGAGGAAAATCATTTATCTCTAATTCTTCTTCATATTTCTTGAAGGTTTCTGCTTCTAACTGCTCCTCATCCTTATCTTCATCTTCAGCTTTAGGCTGGTAATTGAGTTTGGCATGGAGTTTTTCAGCTCGTTGTTCTGCCAGAGTTTTGGCCTGATATTATGTGTAAAAGCTGATGTCATTTTCATTATTTTTTATAAATCTCAATCTTCTACATTTAAAAGACTGGTAACTGTCAATAATACTTCATCACACTTGTGGCTAATATGCTGTAAATGAAGAGGGGGTTTTAACATCACAAGTGCAATGTATTATTATTATAGGTTTTGAATATTATTGGCTTAAATCTCAAAAGAATTTCAGCTAGTTTTATAATTAAAACAAAAATGTAACTAAAATCTTACAAAAAAAAAAAAAACTGAAGAAATGTAATACCAAAGGGTTTAATGTTTAAAGTTAAGTCACTATTTCAAAACTCTTCATATACATTTTTAGTGGTTAATTTTATATAATTTTTTAAAGGTTGTAATAGAAATGAAGAGTATTAATAGTAAAAAACAAAAATAATAATAAAAAATGAAAGGGAAAATCTATGTAGATGCCTTACAGATATGAGCGGAGTTGACATTTGTCCTTTAAGAACAGCCTCAGTAGCTTGCTGTGTTGCACCTTTAGGATCCAAACCAAAATTCTTCTGAAGATTGATGCGAGATGCAAGACGTTTAGCCAGTTCTAGCTTTTCTGCACTGCCAGCAGAGGGCCCAGTGATTGTTGATAAATTACCAGCTGTTGTTATCTGGGCTAGCTGAGCCATGGTGACTTCCTTCACTCTTTTCTTTGGTGCCAGTAATGTTTCAATTTCTTGGTCAATCTACAAGATATAAATATAATAATAACAAAAAGTATTAAATCCAAAAGATTACTTTATTCAAGAACGTGGTTCAGTAGCAGCTGTTAATGCAATGTTATTGTTCTTTTTTTGAATGGGTGAAATGCTTTCTCTTCCTGAGTGAGGACTTCTGAATGTTTCTTAATACATCTTCAAAGACACAAGGTCTTTTTACATACAAAACAAGTACAATGATAACCTTTAAATAACTGATGCAGTTGATAAAGAGTGTTTCATAATTTTGTCTTATAAATAGATGCATCTAGGCCTAATCTGCAAAAAAACCTTTGTCATGAATATTGTGAAGTCTATTTTGAAAACAAAAATGATATATATATACAATGTTATTCAGAATCTTTCAACAGCAAGAGTGCTAATAGGGCCATTTATGTTCAACAATTTCCTTAAATTTTCACTGATGAATGGCAAAGGATAATAGTTACCTATAAGCACTTACCTGATATTGAAAGTTCATTTTTAAAGTAAGAAAAATTACAAGCTAGGTGATAAGCTTTCAAGATCAAAATATTAAGTCACATTAAAAACATTCAGGAACAAACCAATCAAACTTCTATACAACCTAGTGTGAATTTTCTTGTGACAGCAATCAATACTGAAACCAGTCTTCAAATAAGTTATTCTAATATAATTACGACAGTGTACCCAATTCTGAATGAGCATTAGACTGCCTCCAACATGATTTATGAAGATAAATTTTGAAGTCTAGCATTACAAACAATAAGATTTTATAACGTCTTCTAATACTATGCATAGAAACATTAAATTGAAAATAATAAAAATATTCAATGCAGAATAATAACATTTATACTAAAAACAAACAAAGGAACTGCAATACAAAATATCTCAGTACAAGTCTGAATAACTATAAAAGATATAAACAGATTAATTTGATGTGTAACAATTACACTAATAATGTGAAAATGACTGTAAAAAAATCTAATTTAGTCCCATGCTGCTTTTGCACACATAAATGATTGTTACTTAAAATTAAGATACAAGAAGCAACAACAGGAATATACTTATAATAGATTAGACTGGCAATGATGGGGTATTAAAATTTATGTCATGTATTAATCAAATTGTAAGAAAAAGATTTGATATAATAAAATTAAATAAACAAATAACACATATTTCCTCTACAGAGGAATGGTTTAAGTGTGAATGATTACAGCTACATTATGTGTGTGACAAGGTAGTAGCCTCATCAACGTGCAGTTGCTTACTTTTAGTAGGATACAACGAACTAGTTTTAACCACACATGTGAAATATGCATTATTTTTTATAAACAAAGACTACTTCAAATAATCACACTTTCTAAAACAAAACATGCCCCAGAAACCTTCTAATGCTTTCTTACATGCCTTATTTTTCTGATGACTGACTATGATGCTCTTAACATCTAATTCTATTCTGAGAGACATATTTGATGTCATTAATATGTAACTGAAACAATGAATTTTTACAATGTAACATAGCAATGGCTTTACTTCTCCTATATACAAGAATTTACCCAAAGATGCTTGTTTTATTGCAAAAAAAATGTCATTTTAATTTATTGCTAGTTGAAACCATTATATCTTAGTTTATCGCATAGTTTTTACCAAGCCATCAATATTTCTAAATTATCAAGTCTATAAAGCTAAAAATCAAGAAAACTGTTTTCTACATAACTTGATGTATGATTTAAAAGTATGTATTTTAACCAAATGCAAAACCAATATCCCATTTCATTTTCATGGATGCTACAAGCAAGGTTGTTGTCTGCTAAGATATCTACCTGAAATTAATGCAACTTTACTATCAAAAGTTTCTTTAGAATTTCAAGTAAATAACTTTAGTAATCACGGAGACTTTGAGATTATTGTGACAACTTTAAATAATTGCCTCTTCAACAATGCCATTGTAAATCTACAATAAAACTAAAATGTGTATAAAGTTCCAAAGAGCTCACACACAGATGTTTTGCTATTTCACTCCTTATAGTCTCTTTATTACGAAACACTTAAAATAATAAACAAAGTAAAAATTCAAATTACATCAGCTTCTGCATCCTCATCATCAGAATCTTGTAGACCTAAAGCTGCTTTTTGAAATTTCTTCTTTTCATTGGCCAACTGTGCTTCTGCCTCATCAAATTTGAACCCTTTACCTGAGAACCCACTACTGCTTTTTACTTTCTTTCCTTCCTAAATGTAGATGTTCATAATATTAACAAATGCATAAAGTTTTTCTAAATACACTGGTGTGGGAAAACCAAAAAAATCATGGATAACAGAAACAGAGGATAATCAAGGCACTAGTGTATCTCATTAGTTAGTCCATTGTTTAATCTAAGTAAAATATTCTCAATATATTTAATTTACTTGTTTTAATTTATAATATTTTGAATGAAATGTTAAAGAAATTTTAATTTGTATTTTGTGTTTTTTTGTATACTATGTTTCTGATCACTAATCAAATAAAGTTAACCAAGCTACCAATATTTTGTATTTGTGTCTTAGTAGCTAAAAAATAAAAGAGACAAGGCTAGGCTTGAACCTACGCCAGATCCTTCATGCAAAAACCCCAAATATAATTCAATACCCAAACATTTGCAAAGAAAATTAATTTCTGAGCAGCAATTTCTCCAAAACACGTGAATTATTGTCTAGAATTGTAATAGCACAATTATTTTGAGTATATATGGGGGAAAGAAAAAACAGTGGATAATCAAGGATCTCAGATAACAGAGATATGGATAATTGGATATGGATGACTGTAGTCATTGTCCTTTTCAGTGGTGGAGAGGATGGGGGGATAATAAAAAGAACTATACTGTTGGCTTTTCCCATACAACTTAGATATATATATAATTTCATACATAATTTGAACACATAAATTACTGGTTATTTGTAAAATATTTTTTGAAGGAAAAAATTCTGAGTATTGTAAATAAACATATATATAAAATTACCTGTATCAAAATATTCAATATTTTACAGATTGAACAAACATATTTCCTTGCTGTAAAACAAATCTAAGAAAGTATTTAAAAAACAGAAGAGGTTTCTGAATAAACTACACTAATTTTGTTTTGTAAATTCACCAGCTGTTTAATTACTATAACAAGTATTTGTTCTTAGCAAAATTACTAATTCAAAAGCTGTTTGCAATAGTTCACTCACAGAATAGTTCATTAAATCAATATAAAGACTGAACTATTCTCTTTTTAAATAAAGAGAGCACACGGGTTTAGTATACCAAAAAACTTGCTACAAAACAAATCTAAGTTATTGAGAGAAAATAATATCACTGAATACTGAAAGTGTGTGGATAAGAAATGTACTTTCCAATTAGAACATGCAATGCTTGCTTAAGAAGTAATGTGAAACATTTTATATAACTCTTTATATCTATATAAACTCTTACTGCTTCCTGTTTGACTTTATACATCTCCCAGAGTTCCTGAACATTAGCTGGAACTGGGTTACCAGACAGTTCTAAAGCCCTGATAATATCACAAGCATAACGACCCTGATCTGGAGTGATGAATGTATAAGCATAGCCTTTCTTTCCTGCCCGTCCTGTACGCCTGTTAAAAATTAACTATCTGTTACACATGTAAAGTAGATGCAAGTAAATTTTCTACTACAGTAAAACATCATACTACCAAAAATAAAGCTAATCAGTTCCTGCTACAATATAACACAGTATCATAAAAAAGTGGTAGTCATTAACTTTATTTTAAACTTATGCAAAATAATACCAAAAATAAAATACTGATAATTATTTAAGTATGCCCTTAATTCCTCACAACAAGCTAAAAATTATATTAAAATATCTTTATTAGAGCTATCTGGAAACCATACCTTTATAGATAATTATGTTTTTAAAACTTTTAGTAGTTAAATGCTTTTGAATTAGTTTTAGAAAAAAAGACCACCTTATTGTTGGAGAAACTAGAAATGTCATGATAGAGAAAAATGTTTTTATATTAAATCTAGGCATTACTTTCTTATTCATTGTCAAATTTAGTGAATACTTTCATTAAATAAACAAATGTTTTGACAGAGTAATTCTTTTATAGATTTTATTTATTGAGAAATACGTAAATAAATGCATTTCTTCAGGTATAACAGTTCTTACAAACCTCTTTGTTGGTCTATTTAAAACTATTCATACAACAGAAGATTTGGTCTAGTTTAAAAAAATATGTATATACTATTTGAAGCACGTGCCCAACATTTCTTTCATATAGATTGAAAATCAATTAAGTGTAAGCATAACATTTAGAAAAACTCACAATGGTGATCTCAAATATAAATATATTAATAATAACCTAGAAAAGTGTAAGGAAGTATTTGATAAAATAACTTGCAAGTTAACTGTGAAATCCTTTTCTTTGAAGACAATGCTTATTGTATTAGCAATTAATAAAATAATTACAAGAAAACAGTAACCAATTTAACCTCAATTCATTGGTTTCCTAGATATTGTTTATGGAAATATAAGTAGTCAAAAGTGAAATTAACAAAACTATGAATATTATATATGAAACATAAAATCTGGTATTTCAACACATCTGCATAAACACAATCACATCTGCTACATGCATCATTGTGTAATAACATAAAAGTATATGCATTCTCCCATAAAATATCCATAAATTTCCATTTATTTACCTGGAGAACTGCAATGCTTGAAATCTTCAGATATTTTTAATACCTCATATATCAATTAATTAAATAACTATCTTAGTGCTCAAGATCACTATTTATTTCAATTACTTAATAATTACCTGGTGATGGATAGAGCATAACTTTGGACTAAAATGTGTGATTAGGCATCACAACAAGTATAAATTTGTACTGAAATACATAGAGGAAATATGATTTATAACTAGTTCCTAAACAAAAAATATACAGGTATTTAAGAAACCATACATACTAATGGAATATTCTATTCAGTTTTACTTGAAACAAGCATACAAGAAAGCTACCAGTTGTGCTTTATAATCTTATTGAACATTACTATTTGTACAAGTCCAGAAAAATCAGTGTGGTACTTTCATTGATACACATATGACTTACCCACATCTATGAACATAGTCTTCATAGTGGTTAGGACAATCGTAGTTTACGACTAGTATTAAATGTTTGACATCCAATCCTCTTGCAGCCACAGATGTAGCAATCTAGGTATATAAAATTACTTCAAACTGAAAATTGTGGTGTTTAGCAAAAATATAGGATTTAAAAAACAAGGAAGTTCTACCTTACTAAATTGGTCAGAAAGTAAGGTTTAATCCTACGTGTATGTTATCGATCCTTTGAAGTAAGCCCTATTGAAGAATTAATGTTTACAATAGATTTTATACTTATAAATTTATGTATCTTCATGAAATTTGATAGGTTTTTAGTAAACATTACAAGTATCTTGTTCACTTTTAATAAAGTATTTCTAAATACTTGTCTGTATTTACTTTAATCAGTCTGACTCAGACTGACTAGGTGATTTTCATGTTAAAAATAAAAATACCTTTTCATCTTATAGTTTTCATATTTCATTTACATAACCTCTAGAACCTCATAGATGAATATCAGAAGTTTTGGGTAAAGCTTCATATTTTATCAGTTATTTTCTCTATGTTAACACTATACAGGCTTGGTCCATTTCATCAGCCTTGTAACTATCACAAAAAATATTAAGTAAACCCTTTTTCTTTCAAGAGTTACTGCAGATTTTAACACAAAATTACAATTATTTATCCTATAGAGCCTCCAATTTTAACAGTTTACATCTGTTTTTGTTTAATTCTATTGTTTTACTGCTCTTTGAGTCAGGTCACTACTTTCAATAGCAATAAATCATCCAGTGGTAGTGTGGAGAGTTTAGGGTAAACAAAATTTCAGGTTAATTTATACAACATCTATGTATTGTTCCTCATCATACCTTGAGGAGAAAAAATTGTTTTTTATCTAACCTAATAAGTTTTCATTTGTTACATTATAATTTCTTTTGTTAAAAAATGTATATTAATATATAAAAAACAAGGACTTCATTATTTTTCTTCTCAAATGTCAGTCTTCATTAACCCTAATTTTTTCTCACTGAAATGGTTGTCCAAACAATAATTCAAAATAAAAACAAGAATTCAAACAGTAAAACAGAATGATTCAAAGCTACTATAATCTATTTGTTTTTTTAACTGACTTATAAAATGGTTTAAAAATTTACATTACTTACTGGAACACTGGCAGTAAAATCTGCTTGGGAAATAGTACCTTTTACCAAAATAACTTAATATAAAGATACCATAGTCATCTATTTTACAAAATAGCTTTTCTATTGATTATAAACATGTACCAATGACAAGTGAGTATGAGTAAATAAGTATTTTCAAAAGTATGAAAGGTTAGGAGGAGCTTCTTGTGTGGGCATCACAAATTTATCAATAGATTAGAAAATAAAGAAGGCATGACATTCTTATTTTAAATTCTGGCCTTTCAATACCTATTGTTGGTGTATCAAATTGGAGAAAATTCTAAAAATCATATTAGGGAAGAAAAAATCTGATACAGAGAATTCAGAGCAAACAGACAAAACATGTAGAATGAAGATTGAGAATTTATTTAATTAAATACTTGTTTAATATAAAAAAATTGAATTAGAAACTACATTTAAATGTAAAAGTATTCACATTCATTGATAACAAACTTGTTTATTTAAATTCTGAATCCAACTCTGTAAAAAACTCTGACGTGCACTTTGACCCATACCCATGCCAAAAACTGATCTAAACACAATTTTATGTACAAATAGGATTATTGTAGAGACCAAAGATCTAGCACTTATTTCTTAATATTATTTCAAACAATCTTCTTTTATAACAAAAGATTACTCTTTCAAGACAAATATTACATTCACATTTTAAATTTTGTAATCCTAGTTAAGCTCTTTTCTTCTCAGGGTGCATTAATTTGATGTACCCATTATTGGAAATTTCACAAACTAAGACTGATGACTCAAACTACTTGAAGCTTGATACAAACTTTCTAAGTATCAGACTTGTATGGGGGAAAAGAAATCATAGAATTTGATTTATCATTTGTATCAATTCAATTTTTAGCTTCCAAAATTATGTTATGGAATATTGTTACATCCAAAAAGTTCAAATATGTTACATTAAGAATTTCTAATTTTATGTTGTTTGCTTAAAACCTCATCAATGTATCCACAATTTTTTTTGCCAACAAAATTATAAATTTTCTTGTTGTACATACAACCACAAACATAGACAATGAAAATATTTGCTAAAACAGACAGACACTAGTAAATCATATATTTTTTATATTATTGATCAGAAAGTTACGTTTTACTTATCAACTCAGATTTAATTTAAATTATATTAATATATTTCTCTTTATTTTCATTTGGCCTTTGAAGAAGTTACACAAGCATTACAGAACACTTACATGATGAATAATTGTTTACATTGCATTAGACTATTATACATACCAACCCTAACTATACTTTCATGTCTTATTACAGAAAAATATTTCTATAACTTTCACCAAGCATAATATAAATTGAAACTAGTTTCAGTAGGAAAATAAATGTTAATAGATGCTGCAAGAAAAATGTTCACACCTCTATTTAGTTACGAATGATTTCTGAACACACGGTGTCCAATCTTCAAATCTTGTTACAAATGACTGGCAAGTTGTTTTAATACTCAAGACAATTTGCTATTATTTTACATAATTTTATCATGAAAGCCTATGATATACCGAAGTAATACATTAGTCACATACCCAACATTAAAAACCCAAAGGTTCATATCACTAATTATTATTATTATAGTCATAAATCATACAGAGTTCTAGCACTTCAAAGAATATCAAACACATATGTAACACAATGATTAAGGTAGTTTTGTATGTACAAAATAATGTTAGTAATTAACAACGAGCATACATCTCATATGAGACACAAATTACTACAAAACTATTGTTTGTTTGATTTTTGAAGAAAAAATAAGAAAAAAAAATTTAAATATTCATTCTGTACTGAAGTTATTTGCAGATAGGTCAGAAGAATTAACAGATTAGTTAATACTATGACATTCCCTTGGATGTAAAAACTCTTCAAATCCAAAGACATACATTATAAATAACAAGCCATTGGACTGGTTGAAATTATGGGGAATCTCTCAAAGGCAACAATCAAAAAAGTACAGCAATATTTCATGTCATTCTTTCATTTATAATAAACAAAATACATTACATTTATGAGTTATGTAAAAGGATTTATCAATTTGCATTTATCTCAGAAATAGACTGTTGTCTACAAAGAAATGCAGAAATCTGTGGATCCATAGACAATTTTCATGTAAGCTACAGACACTACAAAAACAAAAGCTTTGGGATTTTCAATTTCTATGATATTAACTAAATAACCATTATAGATTATTATAATATCATTTCTTTCTACACTATTCTCTGGCATGTAGTTTCTTGAAACACATCAGAATCATATTCTTTAACCCTATTGCCATGGGTATCCTATACTGCACATGACAAAGTTTTAGTGTCTTACATTACATATTTTATTTAACTACTTTTTGTTTATGTTATACCAATTAGTATAGCATACAATCTCAGCTAATAATCCATATTTTAATAGAATAAAATTTTAAGTTATTAATTCTATAAGGCAATACTAAAAAAAAATTCTGAATTTCCCTTAGTGTGACACATTTTCTTTAGGTATATTCTCTTCTCAATTTTATCCACCACCCCTTCAAAAAGTAATTAAACATAAATTACTCGCTATAAAATCGTCATTGCTCAGACAAACCATAATCTTTATAGCCTTCAATTTTGTTTGGTTATAGAGCTATCAAATAAAAAATCAGACCCCTCCTGCCACATCCTCTCTTTCAGGATTTGTTAATAGTTCTCTCTTAGATTTAATTATATATTACTTATAACCAATAGAAAGCCAAGGTTTTCATCTATCAAATGACATATTTTAAAATGTGTTCTGAACAGAATATTGTCACCTTCGTTCAGATTACAATATTCATTCCAGTGGGAATGTTAACAACTTGCTTGGATGAATTTGTAATGCTTCTGATCATACAGTTAGAAAGCCAGAAAACTTTCGAGAGTTAGGGGAAATTGTCTACTTTTTATTAGTCTATGTTCTTTGGTGCATTATTTAATTAAATAAAAATAATTTAGTGCATTACTACCATTAGTATAAAAAAAGTAGGGTTAACTGTCAATGACAATCGAGAGAAAGAAAAAAGAAGACATGAGTAAGTACTTTATTTCTTGTTTTTCAAATTTATTCTTTATTTATTATTATAAAAGTAATTAAAAATGTAAAAATAGGGATCTTTATAGATTATTTAAGGTTAAATTAGGTAAAATAAATAATAATAACAATAGAAATATAATTAATGAAACATGCACGCGAGCAGCTCATGGGTAATGTAATTCAATAGTGTAACGTGAAATGCATGTTCCCCGAATAATTTACAACTTATAATGGCATGAATAGTAGTTAGACACAGTTGAAAATGTAATTATAAATAGATGTATACTGTTATGAGTTTAAAGTTTTTAGGATAAACAAATGTAGTTTTATGTTACAATTTGAAGTCATTCCCTAAAGAAAAAAGGGCAATTTAGATTTATTTGACTGATCCCATATAGAGATAGGGTAGAGAATATAACAGATAAAATATAAAGTTTTACTGAAAGAAAACGTTTGAAATGTATTTAGGAGGTTTTAGGGATTACACAAAGGAAATTTGAGATTTTTGAGATGAAGTATTTTTAATCTTAACATGAAAATTACTTTGCACACAAACTATTCAAAACAAATACTCAAGTTTTCATGGACAAATCTTTATTTTAGTTTATTAAAAATATTTCACTAAAAAATATGATTTTTTGTATGTGAAAGACTTATAATGTTAACTGAAAGTCTGCCAAATTTTGTGAATATACACACATTATACTGAAAGTTAGAAGTATCAAATCTATAAAGACTAAAGGAATACAAAGAGGTCATGTGGTCGGTCAAATTGACCAACCCCGTGTTGAGAGAGTTAACTAAATTTTAAATGTAGCAGTGTAATGGTGCACCTGAAGTGATAATTCATAACAGCATAGTGAAAGAGTTCAATTTACAAAAATTCCCATAACACACGACTATATTTAAGCAGATGCATATGATTCAAACTTTCACTTAACATACCAGAACACTAATCTTTCCAGCTTTAAAATCACAGATGGTGGAGTCCCTATCAAACTGGTCAATACCACCATGAAGAGCATGGCAATTGTATGATGCCTTGATGAGGTCACGTAGAAGCATATCAGCATGTTCTTGTTTGTCAACAAAGACTAAACAACTGCCTTCTTCCTGGTAAACACCCAATAACTCTAACAGTTTTAGAAACTTCTCTTCATCTTCAAGAACCACCTACATATAATCAGAAATACAATGCAAAATGAAAACTATTTTCGGGAGATATTATGGAGTTTCCAAAAATACATAAGAAAAATTATAGCACATGTTAAGTTCAAAATAGTGACTGACACTCATATAACAACAGTAAATACACTTTTCAGAATGTACTTGTTCAACAAACAATACCATTAAATATGCTTTGTATATCTAGGCTATGTACGTTGCTTACCTGATAACAACAGATTAGTTATCTTTTTTCGGAGATGTATATGCTGCTGCTGCTGATATCATGACCTTACATCAAGTAATTTTCTTAAATTTTGATATAAAAAAAAAACTTACTAAAACAATTTCATGTTCCATCCACATTTCACTAAATCACTAGTTCAATATACCTGGTCAAAGTCAATATCATCATTAGGTTGACATCCTCAGATGACACAATTCTTTAATTTTTGTACTTTTTTGGGGCTAACAGTACAATTTTAGAGAGCATTTCAAAACTCAGAAAGTAAAGGACCACTACAAGCAAAAGAATGAAGAAAATTAAAATCAAGTTTAAATACAGGATTGTCTTTAGAATTGATTTTATTGAAGTTTCTAACAAGGAACTGTTACATAATTCATTATTAAAATTGTACTGTTTCAAAAAATAAGATTTAATGGATTCAGAAAAATATACCTTTCATGTAGAGACATCATATATCTATATTTAACTATATCATGAAGTGGAAGAACTGTGCTATTTTAAAAACTTTCACTGAGTGGGAGAAAGTACTGTGTAACAATTTCTTATTTTGTGTTTCATAAAAACCAATGTACTTTCATAAGTGCCTTATGCATGATTTTTTCTAAACTATCCTAACATTTTAAGTAGTTAAGCTTAAAAGATTTATTAAAAAAGTCTCATTTTTATGAAGAGCTGAGTGTAATACTTTTAAGTATGACATTACATTTTTATCTCATGGTTTAAACCTCGTCAGCCCATAACTCGTATCACCCTGTATTCCCTTTGTCATTGGCTATTTCATTTACAGGCAGAGCCCAATTGATGACTCACTGTAAGTTAGGTGCTAGTGATAGACGAGTGCAGTGTTTCAGTTTGTGAAGATTTTGTAACATTACAAAATTACAGTGATTTCAAATATTGATACTACTTACCCATGAATCGGTGGCTAAAACAAGGAACTTTAAAGTGAAAAACAAGTTCTTCTGATATATTAACTGAGGCTGAAGTTGGACCACTGCAGCACTTTACTGCTGAAATATTGGAAAATGATCTTTCCAAAATGAAGCAACTGTCACTCAAATCAACTGAATTAGCAGCAAGTAATAAGAAACACAAGTATGACAAACTATTTGTCTTATGGATTTATGTGCATTGGAAATAAAGACGCTTTTGAGGCTTAGTGCAATAAAATATTATCCAACAATTTTGTGGCACCTGCTAAACTGCAACAACATTTGGAAACAAATCATTCCAAATATAAAGATAAATACATCAGTTTTTTCAACATATAGGTTAATGCATATACAGACTGCAAAACCTCACTGTTAAAAACCGTCAAAACAGACAACAAAAATGCAACACAGGCATCTTACAAAGTAAGCTATTTCAGTGCCCTCATAGGAGAAGCATGTACATTGGGAGAAACCTTCATTAAACCTTGCATGAATTTAGTTTGTTTGAAATTAAGCACAAAGCTACACAATGGGCTATCTGTGCTCTGCCCACCACGGGTATCGAAACCCGGTTTCTAGCGTTGTAAGTCCGCAGACATACCGCTGTGCCACTTGGGGGCCCTTGCATGAAAGATACTATAAAATATATGCATATTCATTACAGCTAGATGACATGTCAGGGCTTGCAGTATTGCTGGTATTTGTGCCATACATGTTTAATAAATCTATTGAGGAGGATCTGCTCTTATGTGAATCTTTGCAAAGCAACACAACTGATGAAGAAATATTCAACTGCATTAACAACTTCGTGAAAAGATATGAAATTAGTTGGGAAAATGTGTTAATGTGTGTAGTGATGATACCAGGGTAGTGGTTGAGAAAACAGCAGGTGTTGTAACATGGATCATAACAGTGGGACCAGGCTGCGCTAGCTGTCACTGTGTTCTCCACAGATAAGCACTTGCCATTAAAAGTATGCCTAAGTTTCTTAAAGATGTGCTGGATGAGGCAGTGCAAGTTATCAATTGTATTAAAACTTGACCACTGAAATCCAGACTATTTAAAATTCTGTGTAAAGAAATGGGTATCAGCACACAGCTCTGTATGGAGGTTTTTAATCTCTGTATATGGAGGTTAGGTGGTTGTCGCAAGCTTGTGAGACTTTATTCAGCTTTATTGTGAATTATCTTGACTATTAGATTGTTTGTTAAATACCTCATGGCTTTTGAGACTTGTGTATCTTGCAGATATCTTTAAAAAACTGAATGAAGTGAATTTGTTGCTGCAAGGAAAGGATGTTACCATTTTTTATTGCAATCTTAAACACCTCAATCAGACCCCCCCCCCACCCCTTGTTTTTTCAGAGGAAAAAAATTTAAAAAATTCAACTTT